GTTCTTGCAGTTTCATTCTTTATGATTTTTATGATGCTATGTGTGTGACAAGATTTTGGAAATTAATGTCTAAATTAATTTTAATGCATTACTTTCTATGTGTTTTGTGTAATGTCTATGACATCTTATTGTTTTAATATTTAATATACGCCCTTATTATATGATTGAGTCTGAAGAAAACGATTTTCGTTCTTGAATTTGATTTTTCTTTTTTAGTTCCTATTTGTTATAGTGGTTATTATTTTGTAAAATATTTTCAAAAACAAAAAATAATCAGCAAAGTGATGACCAATATCACATATAGATTCCCCACGAATATCAAATTATTACCATATCAAAATGGAAAAATTCTCAAAATAGGAGCATAAAAATTTTAAAATTTCAAAATATGACTTCCGCGTTTTCATTTCTTAAAATAACAGTAATTACTTTCAAATTTGAAAAATATTGTAGTATTTAAAGTTAAATACTCCTAAAACATAGAAATAATTAGTCGTATTTTGAGAATAAAAACATGATAGTCCTATTTTGAAATACACAAACATTTTAAGTAATTGCCCTAAATGGACTAAAACATAGCCTAAATCCCAAAATAGGACTACAAGTTTATTATTCCCTAAATAGGACTAAAGATTACACTTTTACCCTCATATAATTAAACCCACTTCTCTGCCTTCTGCCTTCCGGCAATTTCTTCAAAGTACGTTGCGATCCTTCCTCCCATGACTGCAGCTCCGCCATCGATTGTGGCCTAGCACCACAGTTGACGTCTGCCGTATCCCTGCATTCATCGGCGATCAGGTAGGTACTTTCTTCTTCCTCTTCCTCTTCCTCTTCCTCTTCCTCTTCCTCTTCCTCTTCCTCTTCCTCTTCCTCTTCCTCTTCCTCTTCTTCTTCTTCTTCTTCTTCTTCTTCTTCTTCTTCTTCTTCTTCTTCTTCTTCTTCTTCTTCTTCTTCTTCTTCTTCTTCTTCTTCTTCTTCTTCTTCTTCTTCTTCTTCTTCTTCTTCTTCTACTTCTTCTTCTTCTTCTACTTCTTCGCCTTCTTCTTCTTCTTCTTCTTCTTCTTCCTCTTCCTCTTCCTCTTCTTCTTCTTTTTCTTCTTCTTCTTCTTCTTCTTCTTCTTCTTCTTCTTCCTCCTCCTCCTCCTCCGCATCCTCCTAGTTCTCTGCTTTTTAAAAAAAAAATGTCAATCAGATTTTAATAATGTTTTGATTTTTGAAAGTTTCAAATGAAGATATAATTGAACTTGAATTTCTTGTTATCAGTTTTGATTACATTGAATCAAAAAATGCCCTGATTAATGAATCCAGAAAATGTCACTTTTTGAATAAGAGAATGTCATAATTATTCGGTATTTTTACAAAATGTCACTTTTATGATATTTGGAAATGCCATATTGAGAATGACATGTTTGTATACAAAATTGTCATTGTTGTGTCATTAAGCATATATTAAGTGACATTCTCACATATCAATTGGCATTCCTCGGGGAGGTCTGCACAAAGTCACTGGAGGGTAGATCCTTTGTCACTTTTATGTTATTACAGTATTTGGAAATGTCATATTGAGAATGTCACGTTTCTATACAAAATTATCATTATTGTGTCATTATGCATATTAAGTGGCATTCTATCAAGTGGCATTCCTCATGGAGTCTCAACAAAGTCACTGGAGAGCAGATCCTTGGAGGATGATGGCAGCGTACTTGCTGAGGGGCGTGGTGGTGGTGGTGGCAGACTTGAGGGAGGATGGCGGAGGCGCCATTGGTGGAGGTGTCGACTTGAAGTGTGGAGACCTGGAATCAATGCAAAACCTGCACACAGAGGAATCGCACAGAACCCTGCCCTGTGAACTTTTAATTTTTGTCATTAAGGGTAGTTTTGCCAGATTATCTCTTTTTTGTCCTATTTGTGTCCAATAAAACATAGTGGTCCTATTTTTGCAATTCTACCTTCTTTAGTCCTATTTAGGGAATTCTCTTAAACATTTTTAGTTCTATTTGGGGTAATTTCCCTATCAAAATTATTATAGATAAAGATGGAATTAATATTTAATAGAAATACCTATAGCCGCTCATATACATCGGTTATAAATGAATCGAGTAGTGGATAAATATGAAGTGCTAAAAGTGTGTGTATTAGAAAATAAATCAGTAACTTTCATGTTCAGAGAATTTTTAAAAACTACTATTGAAATTAAATTTATTTACAAAAATATGATTAATAATTACTATGTACTATAATGTTGTCTCATAGCATTTAAGTAAATAAAAAAAAACAGGACATAAGTTACTAGATTTCAGTTACTATTATAGTAGAAATAATTACATAAATATGACCAAAACAAAGACGATTTACAAAAATATGATTAGTGACTAGAGTAATAATGAAATACACTTGAGAAAGTCACTTTTTTGTAAATAATAATAATTATACTTTACGACAAAATTACTTGTGTAATTCGTGTTAATCGTACTTTATGACAACAAGTCATTAAGTCACTATGTCCGTTTATCTAGATTTTCGTGTTCACTAAACTGGACACGAATCTAGTTACTATTGTGATTGTGGACAAAAAGTCACAGTTTTGTTCCCTAAATTCATTTTACTTATTATTTTTTTCCACTATAATCATTTTACTATTATAAAAAGGCTCATGTACTAAGATTTGGAACTCGATGATGATTGAAATTACCCAAGAAATTTGGAAACTTGAGGATAATTGAAATTACAAGACAAACAATGTTTCCGAAATCACGAACTAAGAACCAAGAAAATAGAAACAAAGTAAAGTTTGAGAAACAAATAAAATCTCTTAGAGACATTCACAACAAGAAGAAAACAATGCCCCGAAGGAGCCAAACCATAATATTGCTTACAACATCTTCAATGCTACACCTTTAACATTGAATAAATTTTGACACATGACAATTAACAAATGGAATAGTCACCTAGCTCATATTGGAGTTACCCAAAAGTATGTCCAATACTTGATGTCAACAGCCCATATAACAACTATACTTGTAATTGTGTAAGCAATTTTAAAAATTAAAATACCTCATACTAAACCAGAGATCCGCCGACTACTTTTGAGATGACTATCAATTCATGACTTCTTTTAAAACTCAAAACCAACAAATTGTAGTAGTTTTTGGTTGCGGTTTTGGATCAAACGAATTGCATAATTCAGAGTGGTCTATCGTAGAGGTAATGAATTCCAATAAATTATATGGATAAAATTATTTGATTTATTCCTTCATTTTTTTATTTCAATTGCGTTACTTGATGATTTCTTAAAATAATATTTATTTAATGAGTTTCAACCAAAACAATTACTGCCTACTAATAAGAAAATTCAAATTACAACATAAAATAGTAAAAGCACATCATATTAAGCTTTGCTTAAGAAAAAAGAAAACTGAAACAACTCCCCAATACATGAGCACATATCACCTACTCACCGCATATGTAGACAACTTCATTAAACTTAAAAAAAGTGGTTCCAATATAGAGAGGATGTAGCTTGAAATATATTACATTGAAATAAATTTAAAATAGGAAATTTGTGGAAATAGTATGTACTTCCCAAAAATTAAATCTTTTGAAGAGAGATATGGTGGCTTGAATACCTACGAAGTTTCGCTCAAAGAGAATAAAAAATGAGGTGGGAGTGAGAGTGTGTGACACTGGGAAAGTTTGTTTTCCCACATATTACTTGAACATATATACTGATAATTTTATAGGCGGGTAGCATTTTAATCGGTTTTATCTGCCCCAAATTGGCTGACTCGACATGTGAAAAGACACGGTTATCATAGCACAATAATATTTACAGTGTTTACATTAAAATTGAACATGTCAACATTGAACATTCTACTCATCTATACATTCATGTGTTGGGGACCAAATTCTTGCCCATAAGCTAGACAACGTGACATGCATATTTTTTAATGTGAACAGTGCGTCCATTGGAGATGCTCTTAGAGACAGCCACAACGAGAAGAAAACTAATGTCCCAAATAGTTTGAGTAAACAATTTAAAAACCTGATCAACTGTCAAAGACTCAAAAAACGGATCCAAAACGTTCATTTAAGCTGTATCAGGACCGAATATATATATATATATATATATATATATATATATATATATATATATATATATATATATATATATATATATATATATAAAATTGGTTCCAACTAAGCTTCTTGTATAGTAACACTGTTCACCAATGATGTGTATAGTGACAATTACAATTATGGTTGTGCAATTGTTCTACATCATTGATAGACAGCGTAACCCGAATACCCGATTACCACTAGCAGCCTCATGAGATGTAGGGTGTACTCGATCAGGCCAGGCCGCACCGCGCCTAAATAGTAACGGGCCAGACCGGGCCGGGCCTTAACAGTACCAGGTCGGGCCGCCCTGACCCAGTCCATCCCTAGTGAGATTGGTAATCCCACCTCTCTTTGGAGGGTGAATATTTCTGCAAAGCTAATCGCCAAGTGGCTAATAACTTTATCAAGAAACATCAATAAGAATTGTTCAGTTGATAAAAAGCCTTGACATTATGAACAATGACATCAAGAAATGAAGAACATGAATCTTGAAGTTCTTCAAAGTTCCTATTATTTGCCAGACCAATTAATGGCATCCATCATTTTCCAGTCAAACACCATTAAACCATCCAAATAAGAGTCATGACACTCCTCAAACTGCAATTTGCATTGCTCTCCCACCATCTCCTGAAGGTTGGCCCATTTTCTGCTTCCTATGGAATTTTCTTGATTACCTATAAACCTAAACCCTCGAGACACAGTGAAACTTCTGTGATTAACAAAAACTTGTTTGTCTCGAAGAATCCAACTAACTTCATGTTCATTACACTTTGATTACAAAATTCTACAACATATTTTATCCTATTTGTCTGACTTAAATAGAGATGGTGGAAGCAAAGAATGTTTCCATTGAACACACACAGTTCTGTTTAGCTACCCTTTGATGCATTCAACCTCGATGGTCAAGTCTTTTATACCAGCATCGTGTAACAAATCTGATGCTTTATTCTTTGCAGCAATCTTGTCGGTGTCATTTGAGACGTGAAGGTGGACAGTGCCAACAATGTCAGTGTTTGTGAAGCTCCAAACATGCAGGCTCTGGATGCCGCACACACCTTCCATCTTCCTAACATTGCCTATAGCTTCCTTCAAGTGACCCTCATGACCTCTGGGAACTCGTTGCAGCAGAATTTCTGCTGAGTTTCTCAGCAGCGGGATAACTGAAGAAACTATCAATATTGATATAAATATCGAGCAGGCGGGGTCCGCAACAAGCCACCCTTTGTATTTAATCAATAGTGTTGAAATAACCACCCCCACACTCCCCATCGTGTCCGCTAGCACGTGCAAAAATATGCCTTCCATGTTATGGTCAATGTGGTGGTGGTGGTCATGATGGTGAGGCTTCTCTTTTTCTGCACTCTTTAAGGGTCCATTTGGAACCTGACTAATTCTAGGGAAAGAAAATAAAAAGGAAAGTTAGAGGGAAAATAAAGGACAACGTCTGACTCATTTCATTTATTTATTTCTATCATATTATGGCAGAAATAATGACAAGTATATCACTAAATAAAAGTCATGAATAAAAATGATAGTTTTACATCATGTGACTGTGGTGGTATTTCTGCAAAGATAGTAGTGAACATGAACACATTCAATTTCACTATAGTGCTACTTTTGCTATAAAAATAGTGACTATGTTCGCAGTGACTATATAGTCATATTTGTGTCCATAAGTTTCATATTAATAATATTTTAAGAAGAAACCATATTAAGAAAAAATTGATGCTTCAATAAATGTAAAATATGCACAAATAATCACATTTCATTTTTCTTTTTCTATTTTCCAATGTAAACACGTGAGAAAATAGATATTCATATCAGTTTCTCTGCTTCCCCTATCATTTCCCAAGATCAAAACATACCCCAAGTCAATGTTTACATGGTTATCATGGCTAGAACATGATTGCTCATGGCAGTGTTGGAGAACGGTGATGTGTTCTTCCTTATCATCATGCAAATGATGGTGGGAATGGGAACATGCACCAGTTCCTCTCCTTTCCCTATCATTATCCAAGATCGAAACATGCCCTAAGTCAAAGTTTTCATGGTTATCGTGGCTAGAGCATGATTGCTCATGGCAGTGTTGGACAACAGTGCTGTGGTCTTCCTTATCATCATGTGAATGATGGTGGGAATGGGAATGTGCACATGATCCAGACCCACCATGGGCATGATGATGTTCCTCATGAAAGAAAATCAAGCCGACCACGTTAACAAGAAGCCCGCCAACAGACACAGTCAACAGACTGTTAGTAGAAATCTCCTGAGGGTCTAAAATCCTCTCAAATGATTCAAGAACAATCAAAGCTCCAACTAGTACCAAGAAAACAGCATTGACATATCCAGAGAGTACCTCAAACCGCCCTCGACCATAGTTAAACTGGACATTAGCTGGCAACCGGGATATGTAAGATGCATATAGTCCAATGGCAAGGGCAGCACAGTCAAACAACATGTGACTAGCGTCTGATATCAAACCAAGACTATTACTCATAAACCCTGCAATGAATTCCACAACCATGTATGCTGTGTTGATCAAGAGGAAAAGAGCAATCTTTCTAGACTTTCTTTCACTCAAGATGTGGCGAAGGGGGTTCATAACAGAAATGTCTAATGATTCAGATGATTGCAAACCTAACTCAAGATAATTAGAATAAACAGGATCTAAATTTCTAACAGCTATCCAGATCAAGAATCCACATATCAACAATCCCCAGAGTGATAGTTCTGGAAAATAAAACAATTCCAAGATAAGAGTACACACATAAGTGACTTCATACTCTCTCTGAAAGTCTTTTGATGCCATTGGTTTCTCATCTGCGCTGTTCTCACTCAAAAGCACTCCAAACAGAACTGTATTAACCAATGGCCAACCAAGATTAGATAAAGATACATTCTCACCGTCTGCTTCAAAAACAACCATACTAACAGCAGCAGGTATGAAAAGCAAAACTGTTGTGTAGAACAATGATATCAATCGAACCTGTTTTTGCCCGATTTCCCTTATAGATGCAGGGTTCATTGAAATCCCTTCGTAGCATCCCAAAAATCCGGAAAAGAAGGGGAGCAACATAGGCCAAACCCTAACACAATTCCCACTGGCCAGTACAGAACTTCCTAGCTTACTAACATTCACTGAAGATAAAGGAAAACATTCGATTCTGTCCCAGCTTACAGATAAAAAGAGTAGACCTAAGAACAAAGCTATAAATCCACCAATTTTAGATGATCCAACCTTGTTCAAATCAGCAAACTTTCGATTTTTTCTTCCACCCGCAATGGATCGCGCAGCCACATTTCCGGATAATTCCGCCAGAATCATTGCTGCGGTGCCGCAATATCTGAGAGCTTGGAATCTGAGAAGGAAGATCACAGCCTGAAGGACGGACTTGGCTAAAAGAAGCTTGTGTTGAGATTGAGTCAACGAGGTGAGGGCGAAAATGGGCTGGCGATGCTTTTGGCGGAAAGGGTCTCTAGAAGAGGAAGCAGAAGAAGAATAAGCTGCGGTGAAGATAGAAAAGAACAGAGTCAGAAGGAACGAGAATAGGGAGACGAGGAAAGAGAACGGGAAGATAGAAAAAGAGGACGGCGAGGAACGGAGGAAAGGGAGAAGAGAGTACAGAGAACGAAGGGAGAAAAGGAGAAGAAAAAGGAAGGAGAAGGATGAAGTCTTGGTGGTGGAAGAAAAAGATTTGAAGGGAGTAGCAGAGACCCGGTTTTTGGAGGGGGTGGGGATGGGTGTTGCAGGAGGATAGAGGGGGGTTCTTACAGTAGTGGTGGCTTCGGTGGTGCGCGGTGGGAGTGATAGGCGGTGTGGGCGGTGGTGGTGGTGGTGGTCATCACTGTGATCGTGATCGGCCATGGACGAGGTGAAGAGACGGGGTTGAAGGACTTGGGAGTGACAATTTTCTGATCAGACATTCATCGGACTTGGAACCTCGTGGTGGCTGAAAATGCAAAAGTCGTTGCTTCTCTTTTGGGCTATAAACCGGACATTTTATTATGAAAAATGTTAAGTAAGCCAATTGGTATTTCAATTTGTACTCCATCCTATTTTTGTGGCTCACAAAAGCATCTCATTAAAGTGAGGCAATTCATTAATTGAGATGGACTTTTGTGAATCACAAAAATAGGTTGGGATACAAATTAGGATACCAATTGGGATACCTATAGCAAGGTTGTTTTATTATCCGTCATAAAATTGGGGCATTTTCTTGGACAGAACAACTCATCATGAACAACTCATCATGAATCTTTTTTTACCCTCGGATCATGGGAAGGGTGTTGGGGAGTCTATGATAAAAATTTGGGACTTTTCATAAGAGAGAATGAATTGGTGACTAGTTGAGCTTAAGCGTTTCCTTCAAAGAAACAAATACTCCCTCCGTCCCCCTAAGTTTGTCCCGTTTTACCTTTTTCGTCCGTCCCACTAAGTTTGTCCCATACCATATTTGGTAACATTTGAGTGGTTAGAATTCATTCTTACTTTATTTACACTTTATCAATTCAATACCAACCACACAATTCCACTTTTTCTTAAAAACCACACTACACCCCTCCGTCCCAAACTTAGGGGGACGGAGGGAGTATGATTCTATTTGTACACTTTGTCAAGAAATTTAATCCTTTTAATATCATGATTATATTTTGTGTCTAACAAAGAGTATTGATAGTATAAATCACGTGTATAGAATTATAACTCACGTCAGTGGAAATGTAATTTCCATTACTCCAAATGTAATCAAAGTTCTATGTTTTAGAAATAGGAAATGAAAATAGTAGTCCAGTTCACTTTGTTATATTTATTATTTAAATACAATATGAAGGGAAATAAAAGATTAATAACAATCAAATATTATAAAATAACATATAATTTGTTTTACTAGACTGATGCTTTGCAAAATCTAGCTTCTTCTCAATCACTACTAAAAAACTCGTTCTCTCAAAAGATAAGTATATAATTGATTATCAAATAATGCATATAATAATACTCTGTATCACATAATTAAAATATTCAAAGAAAATTAAATAAGTAGGTAATTGTAAAATTCATGTTTGTGTTCAAATGATTCATGCACTATTGCTTAACTAATCTTTATATAATGCAATGTGTTATTGTCATCATCAAACAATTTGATTTACAATTTGAGCATATTATTAGCAATTAGTTTACTTTAGTAAACTCAAACCAAATCATAATACTATTTCTTTTGTTTGATTCGATTTGGTTGAACAAAATCATTTGGCTCAAAAAGATGTATATAATACTAGAATAAATGTAGTACTTTGAAAAAGTGTATTAGGAAACGAGTGTCAGATTAAATGTGCATTTTCAAATTTAATTGAATGTGTTTCACACTGTAATCTAATTGACATGCCCTATTTGTGAAATAATGGGAAAGAGGTACTCCAATAGGAGTCCTGACAGATATATTTATAATAGAAGAGTTGCCAAAATACAAAGTATTCCTAAACAGATATTAGGCAGATTCCTAAATATCTATTAGGTAGATTCCTAATTATATTAGCCTATTACACCCCCTCAAACTGTGCGGGAGATACAACGCGCAGGTTGTCTTTTAAAAAAATGAAATTGCAAACTAAAAAAAACTCTTAGTAAATATATCCGTGAGCGGAAGATTAGAAGGCACATCTTTGACAATAAGATCTCCATGAGAATATATGTCTGCAGCAGCCAGCGGCGAACTCAACAGGGCGCTTGAAGCAAGCACCGTGGTCAGCGACGCAGAGAAGGTGGTTTGCGCGGACATAGGCAGCAGCAGGCGGCGAACTCAACGGCACGCTGGAAGCAAGCGCCGTGTTCAGCGACGCGAAGGAGGTGATCTGCGCCATATTAGCCGCGCTCATCTTCAAAGGATCGAAGACTACCGTAAATGTGGCGGCAGTTGACCCCGAGGCGGCGGCGGCTATAATAAGGTTCATGGGAACCGAAAAAAAAAGAGAGAGAGAAAAATGTGTCTAAAAACCTAAGCTCTTGATACCATGTGAAATAATGGGAAAGAGGTACTCCAATAGGAGTCCTGACAGATATATTTATAATAGAAGAGTTGCCAAAATACAAAGTATTCCTAAACAAATATTAGGCAGATTCCTAAATATCTATTAGGTAGATTCCTAATTATATTAGCCTATTACTATTCTGGTTATAGATATACCTGGACAGGGGTAAGATCTAGAGGGAGGTTATGGAGGTGTCTGGACAGACGCCTATTTAATGAATCTTTCCTTGATTCTTTTGATCATATTACACTAACTAATCTTAATCAGGCCCCATCTGGCCATTGTCCTATGTTGATTCAGTGCAATAATCATCATTAGTCTCGGTCAAAACCATTTAGATTCCAAAATATGTGGTTATCACACAATTCTTTCTTAAATACTGTTTCTCAAAGATGGAATGAAAGCTTTTCTGGAGGAGGCATGTATTTATCAAGTTACACGGTCTTAAAAAAGGATCTGAGGAAGTGGAACAAGGAAATCTTTGGTAATTTTTTTGATGACATCAAATTCATTTAGCATGAGGTAGCTAAGGTTGAGCAGGACTATAAATTTATCTGCTGATGCTAATAGAGAAAATTGGCAGTTCAAGAAAGCTTTACTTTTGAATAAATACAGATTGGAGAGGAAATTTTGGAAGCAAAAAGCACATGTCAAATTGCTTAAAGATGGTGACAGTAACTCTCATTATTTTCATTCTTGTGTGAAAATCAAAAGAAAAAAGCAGATGATTAACTTGATTCAAGATTCTGAGGGGAGGGAATTATCAACCTTACCTGAGATAGGATCTGCAGCTGTTTATTTCTTTTCAGATCTGTATGCAGTTGAGCCTGTAACCACAAATAATGACATTTTGAAGAGTATTCTAGAACTCGTCACTCAAGAGGACAATGATTTTCTTATAGCAATACCATTAGAAGAGGGAGTTAAGGTTGCTTATTGGGATTTAAATTAGATTGGGGTTCTTGGTCCTGATGGGTTCACTGGAAAATTTTATAAAAAATATTGCCATATAGTTGGGGTTGATGTTGTTAATGCAGTTTAGGAATACTTCATTGGAATACCTCCTCCTAAAGGTTTTTCAAGCTCTCTCATTGTCTAATCCCCAAAGCAGATATCCCCTCATCCTTCTAATATTTTAGGCCCATTTGTCTTTCAAACTTTACTAATAAAATATGTACCAAGGTGTTGGCTTCTAGATTACTAAAGTTACTGCCTAAAATCATCTATGTGGAACAAACATTTTTTTGCTAAAGGTAGAGATATCTCTGATCAAGTTTTAATTGCCCATGAAATGGTTCATGTTATAGATAAGAAAGCCATAGGTCAAATGTGGTTATCAAGTTGGATATGGCCAAAGCGTTTGATAAACTTTTTTGGAATTAATTGTTTGAGGTACTGGCCAGGTTTGGATTCTTTAATAAGTTTGTATCTCTTATTAGTAATAACCTTCAGTCCACTTACTTATCCATTTTGATCAATGGGAGTCCCCAGAGGGGTTTCAACCCAAGGGGGGGGGGGGGGGGTGAAACAAGCAAGTTGATCTTATATCCCCATTTCAATTCATCATAGCTTCTGAAGGTTTCTCAAGAAGTTTAAACACTCGAATGGAGCAGGGGATTATTAATCCATTATGGTTAGGGAGTAAAGGTTATCTTATCAGTCATCTAGGGTTTGCTGATGATTTATTTATCTTCACTAATGGTGACTCATGGTCTCTTGCGAATTTTAAGAACTTTGTCAAGAATACCAGTCACCTTCAGGACAAACAGTTAACTTAGAGAAGAACCTTCATACTGGAAAGGCCCTTTACATTGAAACTATGGTGGGAGTGGAAGATTCATAACTCTCTTTGGTGTAATTTTATAAAATCTAGATATCCTATAGGGATGGGTATGAGGCAATTTTTTTTTTTTTTACAGATTCTACCATTTGGAGAAGACTTTGTGGGATTCATGATATTACTACTGACCACTGCTCCACTAATTCTTTTGGTATATTGCAATGGGATCCTGGATTTCATGGTACCTTTTCATTGGAATAAGTTCCAAATTATGCAAATCAAGATATTTTTATGGAAGCTTTTGAACTCCTAGCTGCCTATTTCAGAAAATTTACAGAGATTCCAACTAATCCTCCAACCCTCAAAATGTGCCTTGTGCAGAAATTATTGTGAAACCAATGACCATATTTTCTTTGGTTGCTATTACACAATGAAAATTTGGCAGCATTTTATGGGAATTTTTTATATTATTGTTCCTAAAATCTCTTCGATTAGACAAGTATTGATTCATTGGTCCTAAGACACTGGCAGATATTTTTAAGCACAATCTACCCGGGATCATCGGTGGGCATATTTGGAAGGTTTCCTCATCCTATACTTGGGGTTCGGGCTCTATTCCAGATTCTGAATATCTTATCCTTCAAATTAAGTTCTACACTCAGAAATGGGCTTATAAATTGGATAAAATCAAACGGCGGAAGGTGGAAGGCTTCTTATTCAAGAGCATCTAATTCCGGATAACTTCAAGTTCAATAGCTCTGTAATTCAGATTATTAAATGGGAAATGCCTAAGAAAAGCTTTAAATTGAACGTTGATGCTTCTTTCATACCTGGTTTGGCAATAGGTGGCGCTATTCTTAGGAACCGTTCTGGCGAACCTGTTTGGGCTGGTGCTTCCACATCCAGGCGAATTCTAGTGAGGAGGCGGAGCTAAAGACTTTGATGTTTGTTTCCAAGATGGCGATGGACGAGGGGCTTGTTGATATCCAAGTGGAGACTGATGTTATTGGCCCATTCACTCTAATCTTGGATGATTCAGGAAACTATGCTGGGCTACAATTTTTACGGAGGAAGGCAACAACGAAGGGGTTCTCTTTCGAACATGTCTTTAGAGAAGGGAATGGGCCGACTCACTTCCTAGCGGGTCAGCGGATTGATTCGGCCCAAATCATGTTTTTTGATCAGGTTGGCCTTTAGCCCAAAGATGTTAAGAATAGTTAGGATGTTTTTACTTGGACTGTAATTTGCTGGTCTGGTCTGGTCTGGTCTGATCTGATCTGGTCTGGTCTGAACTGGTCTGGTCTGGTCTGGTAAGGTCTGATTTCTTTGTATTTTTATAACTATCCAAGTCTGGTCTGGTCTGGTCTGGTCTGGTCTGAACTGGTCTGGTCTGGTCTGGTCTGGACTGGTCTGGTCTGGTCTGGTCTGGGGCAAATTACAGTCCAAGTAAAAACATCCTTACTATGCATATCTCTTTGGTTTTCCTGTTTTGCATTTTTTATTCATGTATTTTTAATTTTGGGTCAGGTCTAGCCCCTCTAAAATTTGTTTCATTTCATCATTCTTTTTTCTTAAAAAAAATATGGATGGGTGGTCTGAAAAAAAAAACAGGAGCTAAGTTTTCGAACGACGAGCCAAAAAAATGTCATGTTAAATTAGACATTGCATACGAAGATCGGGAATACGTTATATTAATAAAAAAATTACGTAATATAGATGATCACATGTATTTGATTAACTAGCGATTGATCGCGCAAGGCGCGATAACTCATGCCCAATGTTTTTTTGGCAAAACTTGCCCAATTTTTAATAATATTTTTTCAGCCACCCTTATTTACATGGATAATGAGCCAGTAGTGTTGTTTGATGAATTACAAAGTAAAAAAACTTAACACATTAAAACTCTAAAAATAGTATTGTTGATCACCTTAATTTTTGTTAAGTATGAGTAGAGGCGTATACAAGAGGAGAAGTTCAACTTGATCGGTACAAACAATTTTTTTAGATATATTTGAGGAGAAATATTCATTATAGTAAAAAGGTTTATATTATCATGTAAATACATACGAAGTATTTCACTACCAAAAAAATACGAGATTGACAGAGATTTTTGGTATGAGTTTTCCAAAATTGGCAGGGATTTTGACATGGATATGCCAAATCTATGCCAAAAACAGTTTGGCACGAAAAATTGATAAATCCATGCCAAATCCGTGTCAATCCCATAAATTTTTTATAGTGTTTGCTTCATTATTGTAAAAACAATCGATGCAATTAACTATAAAAAAGTCAAACTTGAAAAGGTTTAAAAAGTGCATATTACTTATTTCAATATAAATAGTTCCCATATTACTTTATTTAAAGTTCACGAATTTATCATAGTAAGTAGTATTTAAATGTCTTTATGATTTTTTTTTACACAAAAGTAATTTATTAAATAAAAAGGAAGTCACAGAAAGTAGGAGGACCAAACCAATGCCTACTCCCAGAGTTATAGAATTACATAAGGGAATCCAATAGCATCAAATTTCAAGATATTCGTGAAATGAGTAGTTTGTGAGTTGTTTCCTTTACTGATATACTGAGCTGCCCGGTTGACTGCTTTGTTAATGACCTCGAGGGGAATGGATTGCCGATTCAAGATCCTCCTAATGCGAGTAATAGTGTAGATATCATCCCAATAACCAACACAGTGCGTCTTAATTGCTCGATCGGCCTTCTTGTCATCAATTTGAATGGAATCAATTACCCACCGATTATCACTGCAAAATATTAAGGCATAAAGGATGCAAGTAATGATAGCATGTTGGGGAGATTTAGCCATTGTCCTACGGCAATCATGACCAATAAGATCGCCCTTATGATTCCTAACAAGGAAGGCCGTACTATGAGAAAGACCAGTTTGGGTAGTAGCCAAATTAATGGTGATTCTATTCTCGACCGGAGGCTTCCAAAAGTCCAGAAAGACCAGTTTAAATGTCTTTATGAATCACAAGTAACTTAACGGAAGTTTACACCATTATGGTTATTAAAGTCACTTGAAAAGTTAGGTATGATTTTCTAAGCATAATGTACAAATTTTTATGTAAAAATGTATTGACACAAATCAAGAGTACCAACCCTCATTTAGGCCTGTCAATGGGTCGGGTCCGGGCCGGAATGTAGTGTTCCAGACCCGGACCCGCTAAGTTAATAATGGACCTAGACCCGACCCGTTTACCCGGCGGGTCTAAAAATTTGGACCCGGACCCGGACCCAACGAGTCTCGGAACCGGGTCGGGTAGACCCGCCAAGTATGATACCGTTATAAATTTTGTGAAAATAACAAGACCTCTATGTGAAATGTAAAGAAAAGTGGGCAAACTAAAAAGCAAAATATATCCTCACTTTTAAAAAAAATCAAGGTTTCTCATGTTATTACTTTTATCCAATAAAGTATTGGTTCTTGCGTATAACTCAACACTCTGTGTCGCTTTTTCTCGTACATAGAGCTCGTAGCATAAACTTCAAATTAAGTCACAAAAGATGTCTTGGACTATTGAGAGTATAAAAACATATTGTATGGAGTGTATGATATTGATATAATAATAATAATAATAATTAATATAATAATGAATATTGTGCATTGCTAACCGAGCCCAATACACATTTATCACTATGAATAAACGGTCAAAATGGGTATTAATTTAATACACACACTAATAGGTATGTATTAGTGTGTGTATTTTCGATTGAAGAATTACAACCAATAATTTTATGTATTATTATTATGTATATGTTTTTGTGTATATATTAGTTTGTAATTTTTTACTTGAAGTGTTATAATTAATTACTTTATGTATTAGAGTGTTTGTATACAAATAAGAAATTTTAAACAGGTCTGGGTCCTTAACGGGTCGGAATCATATGTACCGTACCCGACCCGTTTATTAAATATACTAACGGGTCCGGATCCAGGTCCGGGTAAACGGAATAAAATATAGACCCATACCCGTTAAAAATAACCGGGTCGGGTCCGGGTCTAGACCCGACCCATTGACAGGCCTACCCTCATTCACAATTATAATGTTGTTAGATTTATTCAATTACATCAATTGTACTACATGTGTTGTTCAGGGATAACCGGTTGGGATGTACATTGTCGGCGGATTTGGCGGACTACAATTGACATTATCTTAATAGTGAGTATAATGAAGGGTCCGTTTTATTATTATTTTGGAAATTTTCTAGACCAGGATGTTTAATAGTCCATTTATTAGTTTAGTTTTTGTAAACTTATAATAATATATTCAATCACATTGGCTTTGTTTGATTTAATTCCACCATTATCATTGATCCCGTCATATTTGAGAATTCCTTTCAAATTTCAATGTAGGAAATTTGTAATCGTCATTTAATTTGCCATGACGATAAACAAAAGTCAAGAACGATCTCCACATCAAGTGAGTATATATCATCCAAAATATGCTTTTACGCACGATCAATTAACATTGCCATGTTAAGGGTCGCCTCAAGAAGTGGACTAAAGGTTCTTATATGTGATGACGAGAGTCTTGCTATGAATACCACTTATAATGTTATCTATAAAGAGGTTTTTGTAAAGTATAAAATTGTGATTCTTCTGTTTTATAGTTTTATGAAACCTAATAATTATACTATAATTATGATGTTTTATCTGAAATCGATCTATTTCAGTCTTAGACTAAATCAGACTAGACCAAATCATATTAGGCCAGACCTAAACAGACTAGAACAGAACAGGCCAGACTTCGTCGATTATAAAATACACATGAATCAGACATGTTCCAGACCAGACCAGTTCAGACCCTACGAGACTTAAACAACCAGACAAGACTAGATCAAAAAATTCCATTTCAAGTAAAAACACCCTTAATTTCATTATCATTACATAAAATTTAGAGTTACACCTTGTCGGTTAATTTACTTTTTACTTGCAATTTATAGTTACTATTTTATGTACAAAGCAACGACATATAAACGTTATTTTTTTATTTGGCATAAATACACATTGCCATTATAATAAAATGGTACTCTATTCTAGATCCACAAGTACTTGGTCAATTGGTCTAGTATCATTAAGAGGTGAAGTGACATCCCGATCTAGCCGTAGTAGATAATTAATTCGTTGGGACGCCAATTTTAGTATCAAAAGAGTTGTGGATAGTTGGGAAATTTGTTAAAAAGTCCTGTAACTTTGGCTAATAGCTGATATTGATCCTATAACTTTACATACTTGCAAAATACATCCTTCAACTAATATATTTGTTCAATTTGAGAACATTGCCGTCGGAAAGTTAAATTTTGGCCGGAAAGTTACATGTCAATCTCCCGTTGTAATCTTTTCCTAACATTTGCAGCTGACTTGGATGTGGGCCCCTATTATGACTTATTCCCAAACACTTCATTGTGCTCTGATCTCCCAAATCCCCCATTAGAACAATAAAAGCACAAAACCTAAGAGAAGAACGGAGGCTTCGTAATTCTTGGTCCGGCTTCTCCACATATGGAAGGAAGGTGAGTGTGTGTTCCTCTAAAGTGCAAATAATGGCTCAGGCGAGGATCTATGGAATATCATTGTGGTAAGAAGGCCGTGTTTTGACTTCATAGACTGATATATGACGAGGGAAGGAGGTTCCATGTGTGCTTCAGAAACAGAGTAAGAACTCTAAACTTTTTAATTTTGTAGATTTCGAATTTTGCTTGAAAAAATTAGATATTTTATATGTAGTATTACTTTGATATAAGAGAAAAAAATTCTAATGTTAAAGGTTCTAACAAGACATTGGAACAAGAATAATAGTTGATTAGCAAAACTAACGAGTTGTCTTTTTTCTGGACCGTTTCTATGGTTACAAATGGAGTCTTTTAAAATTGATAAGTGAAGTGAAGTTTTTTCTTTATGTTCATTTTTACAATTTCGTATTTGGAATTTATAAGAAATAAATTGAAGATGTATAATCTACTACTCCGTATTCAGTTTAATCTAGCTATTTTTTTTAATGTGTTATGAATCAGAGAGTGTTTTCTTTATGTGCAGGATGTTTTAAAATAAGGAGTGTTTGGGAGGGAACCAAAAACAGGGTCTCAAGTTCAGGTCAGCTAGGCCATATGAAAAAAATATGAACAAGTGACGCTGATGTATTAATTTCCGACGGAATTATTACTTTCCAACATAAATGTCCTGAAATTGGACAAATATGTTAATTAGAGGACGTATTATGCAAGTAAATGAACTTAGAGGACCAATATCGGACACCACCAAAAGTTACGAGACTAATTTTACAAATTTCCTGGATAGTTTATAGTGGGAGCCTCTTTTAAAATACGGAGCAGATAGTATTTGATTTGATGCCGCCTCCTAAAAAAAATACTACGTACTCCTTACTACGCAATTGAGGGCTTGCAAATTCCAAAAGCCAATTAATTAGTGTTTGCACGGATCTGCATTGTGTAATGTTTCATCGGATACTAGACGCAACACTCGTTGGGTGCTTCACGTCTACGGACCACCTCTCACTTCATTCGATCTATTATCCGCTTTTTACGTTCTAATCAATCACTTAATTCATAATCTTTAACAAATTAAAGGACGAAAGCACATACAAAGTGATTTCCATCTCACAAAACCACCACTATATTTTCTCTGTCTTCATTGTCAAGTCTAGAGTCTAAATCGTTATCCTCCCCTTTCTATTTTACACGATCGAATTGGATCATTATTTAATTAATGACATTTACTGTTCGAAAATTTCAATTATTTTCACATAATCTTTTATTTTATTTTATTTTATTTTATTTTATTTTATTTTATTTTATTTTATTTTATTTTATTTTATTTTATTTTATTAATAGAGTATATTTCAAATATAACTCAGAGAAATGTACGAGAAAGTACTTGTAATTGAGTCCGTTTTTAAATAAGGATATGCGTTTCATTTCTTAACAAAGTAGCTCACATGTTTAAATTCAATTATCAGAGGAGAGGTCGGCGCCTGACGCCATTAGAAATCGTCAGAGAAAGACGATGAACAGTAACTCTGATTCTAAAAAATGCTCAGAAATCTTAAGTCATCTTTTTTTGTTTCTAGCCGCTCTTGTCGCCCGAAAATCTATCGAAATAGTGATATTTACAAATTCATTTTTATACAATAATCCAAACTAATCCTAAAAGTCTAAAGAGAAAGATAATTTGGAGGTCTCCTTAATGAGGCGCACCCTAATATTTTTCTTTTAATTTTCCGGGCACTTTTGAAATTTAGACGTGTTGTTCATCGTCTTCCTTCGAATTTCTAACGTCGTCAGACATTGAGCCCCTCATGTGATAACAGAATTTAAACACGTGATCCACTTTGTCAAAAGATTAAACACAAGCCCGTGTCTGAAAATAGACCCAATGACATATATGTTTCCCTATAATTTATTCAAAATATATACTCGCAAAAAAAGTTATCCATAATTTATCAAATTCGATGAATTGAAACCCTTCAACCAGATTTAATCAATTTTAACACATTCAGCCAATTTAATAATTAATTTGACTTATTTGAGCGTTACCCTTAGTTTTAGACTCATAATTACTTGAATTTAACATACTAAAGCAAACGTCCAACGTTAACGTTGGAAGTGAACGCCCAAGATATGTTCACTGTGGTATAACAGTGTCGCTTTATGTTATTTTTGGGTGACATGATGTCAACATTATATACACCTTTTATTCGGTCAAATTCTGACACTAGTCTTCAACAACATAACTAACCGATATGTAACTTCAATATCCTACGGAGTATAATAAAAATAACATAATAAAAGGCAAGAATCATACGGAGTATTCAATTCCGAAACGGACTGTGGGATTATATTTAAACACACATGGACATGTGAATATTCCTCCATCGATCTCTTGGGCAAATATGGGCGGAGGGAAAGGCCTGACCGTACCATGCGTTCTCATCATGGGTAATTTGATCGAATATGTTAATTTTATGTATACATACGTAGTATTTGAGGGGCTAAAAAATGATGGGTGGTCTGATGCAGGGATAGCGGGGATGGAGAGGTTTACGTTCAAAGGAGTGGCGGCGAACATGGTGACGTACCTGACGGACGTGGCGAAGATGAGCAACTCCGCGGCGGCGAAGCTGGTCAACAACTGGTGCGGCGTTACGTCCATGCTGCCGCTCTTGGTGGCGCCCTTCGCCGACTCTTATTTCGACACTTGCACCACTATTTTAGGCTCTGCAGTTCTCTATTGTCTGGTACTAATTTACCTATTTTAGCCTCTTACAAAGTATTGAGCCAGAGTATTGAGCCGCACTGGGCCGGTACAAAGAATATTTTAGAAAAAAAAATTCAACGGAATTTTTTACACTAAAAATTAAGGTATTTTTAAAATTTGAGGTGGGCTAGGTCCTAGGTTGGCCCACCCCTAGCTCCGCCCATGCTCCATCCCTAAATTTACTTCCATAGTACAAATGGCACGGGATTAAGACATTGAGTATTGTGTGGTGGAGAGTTGTGCAAATGTGTAAAATTTGGTGTGAACCACAAATTCTTTACTAAAAAAAGAAAAGTAGAAGTTTTTTGGAACACCCAAAAAAGAAAGTTAGAAGTGTTTTTAGGGACACAGGATTATATAATAAGCATATTTAATGCAACATCTTCTATAT